GTATTCTACCTAATAGTGTTCCACAGTTTCCAGTTTGGCAGTAGTTTTTTTTTTTTTTATTTTTTTATTTTATTTTTTTTCTACCACAGACGTGGCCACACATTTACAATGCTAACCAGCATATATACATTTTCTTCTGTCCTCCATGGTGCTCCGGCGGACACTCCCATGCACTATTGTCAGTGTGTGGCGCCTCCACTCAGAACAAATATTGAACTTTTAAGCTTTTCACAAATGTCTCCACCAGGGAGAACACAAACTCATACCACGTGTTTCCTGGGAAGGTCTGGTATGAGGCTTATATTAAGACTTTCAAAAGATAACATTTCTCGTCTACTGACCAAGATATTAACTTTGGTATTACCGCATCGCAATTTAGTACATTATAATTTAAGAGTTTGAAGTCAAGTAGAAAACTAATATCTCTAATGTGCGCATCAGTGATATTAGGGGATGTTTAACACATCAGTGACTAATATCCCTGATGTGTTTATTTTAGTTGTTGTTGTTCAAGATTCGCTACTTGGAACAAAAAGTTCCAAGCAGCACGGGCTATGGTGAGCCCGTAGTAGCCTTTTCGTATTATTTTAGTGTGTAAGCCAAGTTTTCAGGAATTATTATTTTGTTATTTTTATTATTATAAGTAAAGAATGTAATTATTTATGTTTGTTTACTCCTGCAACCATCACACCGCAAAGAACTTTAGCAGTTTTATTTACTTTGCTTTACCCTTTTATTTATATTTTAATGTGCGCAAGTCAACAACAGCTGCCAGGTATTTGCTGCGCTTCCTGCAACACGTCACATAATACTTATAGTAACGATGTGAACCATCCTACATATATTGACGTAATGGGCAATTAGAAAAAGTAGAATTTGGTACTACTGAATGTAGACAAACTGATAAAGGTTTTGTATTTATGTCGGTAATAAGACCTAACCTAACCATCCCATACCTGATGCACGCTATCTGAGGCCTAATATAGTACACATTATGTGCTATACTAAACCTAGTAATATTTAAATTTGGTTTAAGCTTCATTTTTTCCGGATTATATAAGGTAAATAGTACCATATTCTACTAATTGTCCATTACGTTATATGTACGACGGTCCACCTAGTGACAAACAGTAGTATCTAAACAGGAGGATGGGTTGATGTATCCTATTGTTGTCAGACCGGAAGGACTATGGCGGCCCCTCCCAACTTCCCGCTCTTCTCTGTCCTTGGCCGGCGCGTTGCTCGTAGTGTTACGGAATTCAGTTAAAGTATTGGATAATACAACTCTTTTTCAAAAGCGGGTTTACAAGTACATGTTAGGATCGACTGACTGACTGAAGGTGGGTTAAATAATATTCGTGTTTTTGTAAACAAATTATGTTCAAAGCTTCGACTGGAGATTATGTACTGTTGTCTCCAGTCGATTACATCCTGATTATAATCTATGACTCGAGATGTGTTGCATTTACTTCCAGCTTGTTTTGTAAATACTTTATACACAAATCATCGTAATCTAACCTGAACAAAGCCACAAGGGCCGTGATGACGGGTCGAACCTACGTCCAGCATGATCCCAGACGCGCCTTAGTCGATTGCGCCTCGACAAGGAAAAGAATTACAACTGGGAGTACTACTACCCTCACATGGATCCCGCAGTCTCTCAGGGACACAAATCGGTTACAATTTTTTCCGTGTCGTGGCGCAATCGACTAAGGCGCGTCTGGGATCATCCTGGACGTAGGTTCGAACCCTCATCATGGCCCTTTTGGATTTGTTCATTTGATGTATGACGCTATTGTGATTTTAGAACTTTCCAATATTTGTATTGCTGATGTTATCATTGTCTATCTGAAGTTGAATTTGGTTTGATGATTTGCGTCCAAATAAGATGTAGTAGGTCTTTTTTTTTTTTTTTTTTTTTTTTTTTTTTTTTTTTTTTTTTTTTTTTGAGATATATACAAGAGTTGTTACATTCTTGTACAGCCACTAGTACGCGTAGCGTTTCGGGCAGAGTATGCGTAGCGTTTCGTTTCGTTTTTCTATGTTTAATGTGAGTTTCTTGGTTGGCATCCATAAGTGAACTTTTTTAATTCGTTACTTACAATATTATTTAGTGTGTGTGGGGGTTGGGGTCAGAGTAGATGAAGGTAGTATCGTCAGCAAATAGCATTGGTTTACGAATGTTAGAAATATTTGGCAAATCATTAATGTATATAGGAATTAGAAGAGGTCCTAGAATACTGCCCTGTGGCACTCCTACGGTTAATGGTAGAGTGGGAGGAGGATATATCATTGTTAGCTACATATTGGTGTCTGTCAATAGCCTACTACGAAACCTTACTAAACTCAACAACCATAGTCAAGGTATGCAAACAAATTATTCTGCATTTGCAGTGATGGTCATAACACGTTGTAATATATGATACAAATAACTGGTTATAGAAAAATGGACAAAATTATACCTTACAGTACTATTCAGATTACTACCGTAATACATTGTCTAGAAGGCCTAATATAATTATCAACAAACTATATATTTATAGTATGACTTAATGTTTTTTTGGGGTGGGGGCAAACAGTATATGTTTGTACATATGTCGATGAGGACTTGTTTATTTCAGTGTAGCCTACACATTCGTCTGTAATAGCGTCACCACATGCGTCACCACAAACGTCACCACAAACGTCACCATGCACATTTAATTTATTTCATCTTGGTAAAGCGTGGCCAGTTATGTTAATCTAATTGTAATATTTGTTGAAAGCTCGGTGATAAGGTTACGTTGACATATGACTGGAACTGTTTATTGACTTGGATCAAGGTCTGGTGGTAGACGGTCGATGCCTCAAAGTTCTGTAGCCTCTGATCCGACTTCACCTTTTAAACTTTAGTTTGAACGTCTGTTACTGCAGGGCATATATATTATACTATATATATACACACAAATATTTTCCGTATATATTATACAGAAAACACACACACACACGTAACAATCAATTTTCGAAGACCTTACCCTGGAAACACAAACAGTAACTTTCTCTATCTTGGCTTAACGTATTTATGACGTATTAGAACGTTGTTACAACTTGATATATTGTTTTTTATAACTGGTTAGGTGGTGTTAAAACTTGTTTGAGCGTTGTAGCAACGTCGTAGTTTCGGTGTGTGTTTGGCGGGTATTCAACTCTTTGGAGATGGGGTGCGTGCCAAAGATACAGCAAGCATTTCCTCTCTGGATCGCGACACTGAGGCGCTGGAATAGGAAAAGCTGAGCGACTTGAGGATGATGGAGGGAAGAATAGGGGCTTTGGATGCCCACGATGCTTTGTACCTCCTCTCAAGGTGCCTGGCTTTGCCTAGGCTTACCTATTTTCCAAGGTGTGCTCCATCCGTTGACAGTCCAAAATTAACAGAATATGACGCACTCTTGAAATCAGTAACCATGAAAGTGTTAAACCTCTCCCTGCAAGATGACCAATGGGACCAAGCAACACTCCCTTGTATCGCCTTGCGAATACCTATACCCCTGAGTCTAACTGGGAGCGTTACTTGGTCCCACTGGTCATTTTGCAGGGAGAGGTTTAACACTTTCACGGTTATTGACCTTAAGAGTGGGTCATATTCTGTTTAATTTTGGGCTGTCGAAGGAGGGAGCACACCTTAGGAAATAGGTCAGTCTGGGCAAAGCCAGACACCTTGTGAGAAGGTACAAAGCATCGTGAGCATCCAAAGCCTCTATTCTTCCCGCTATCCTCCTCAGGTCGTTCAGCGTTTCTTCAAGGATTACCTCAATGGCGCTCGAGCCCAGAGGTACCCCTAGCAGCACACTGTTGGTGGGAGCGATCACTGGGGCTCCTGGCAATAAGGTTAGTACTGCATCTATGATTGGTTGACTATCTTGAGGTTATCTTGAGATGATTTCGGGGCTTTTTTTGTTTTTAGTGTCCCCGCGGCCCGGTCCTCGACCAGGCCTCCACCCCCAGGAAGCAGCCCGTGACAGCTGACTAACACCCAGGTACCTATTTTACTGCTAAGTAACAGAGGCATAGTGAAAGAAGTTCTGCCCATTGTTTCTCTCCGGCGCCCGGGATCGAACCCGGGACCACAGGATCACAAGCCCAGTGTGCTGTCCGCTCGGCTCCCTTACTAGATTAGATGATTTCAGACTTTGATGGATTTAGGGGGAGGCCTAACTCCTCTCCCTTAGATTTCACCAACTGTAGATCTAGAAGGGATTCCTGTGTCCCTGCCAGGGTGCCATCGTCCAGGAACCAGATGTTGAATTCGCTGGTCAACCTGCTTGTGACCTCTTTAGCAGCCATGCAGAAAAGGCAAGGGACAAGTGGGTCTCCCTGCTGGACACCGTCTGCGGAAACAATTTCATGTTCCCCAAACAACAGTATATTTATACATATAAGTTTTAAATAAAATAAAATGACAAATTATAAGGGGTGATAGGAGAAGACATTATGTGAGTGTACACGGGTGCCCCACAAGGAGAATTTTTTTATTTTGTTTTTTGAATGACATGGTGAAGCTTATCTATCTTATCATTGGCTTTAGGATCTATATATCGGTTTGTGATAGCGGCCTCTCTGCTTTAACAACATCAAACTGAGGTATCACAACACATTTACACAAAGACAATTTCCGATGTGTTTTGGTAGAAACGACGTCATGTTTCAGGGCATCCTAGCTCAGAAAAGCAACTTTACAGTTCCCTTTCATTTTACCGTAAAAGTAAAAGTGTAAACGTTAAAAGTGGAGAACAACTCTTAGGGCAGTTGTATTTCCTGTGTAGCATTGAATTTAAATATCGCAATAAAAATTCTAAGTTCATCTTGTCACAATTTTCATGGATGTTCTCCAGTGTTTCACGAAAGGGTCTTCAACTTCTCAAGTGTTACTTTGGTGTGACTGGCTGCGTGAACTTTGGAACCAATATGACTGTGGGGAAGGAGTGACGAGTTTATAACTAAATGCTTTGGTTTTTTTTCAGAATGGCAGCGTCAGAGGCCCGCCTGGGCGGCCTCCTCCTCCGTTTTACCCGTCTGCCCCACCGCCTTACTACCCACCTCAACCGATGCACCCAACGGGGCCAGCACCTCCTGTTGCGGCACCCTACGGTGTTCCACCCATGACAGGACCCTTTTACCCTCCCCCACCAGCATATCAAGAGAGTCATCCGGGGAACTATCCTGTCTATCAAGGGGAACACTCGCTTTATCCGGATATTTCACAGTTGCCACAGCCAGAGGCAGGTAATGTATCCACCGGGCCGCTCCAATATGGCCTGCATGGCTACAATTCCGTGCTTGGCTTTGGGGCGTCACTAGTAGCACCGCTCGATGGTAAGCCCCGCTTGGATACCTTGCATGGAGACACACATCTGCATAGACTCCCTACAGCGCCTTTTGAGCCTCCTCCCCCATATGAAGCCAGCTGTTACAGCCGCACATCGTCTAGCTCCTACCACACTAACCCGCATGCCAGCTCTCATGCAACACTGACACACCCGCTCATTCCAGCGCATCCTCAGGTCTCGACTGATGGTGCAAATGGCAAGCATAATATAGGATTCTCCAAGTCCTCAGGTAAAGTAGCCTGAGTAGTAGGGGAGGATGAGGGGACGGGGGAGGGAGGGAATGGTGGTGAGAACGAGGGTATAGGTGCAGTGGGGAATTTTTGGGAGGACGAGGGGTGAATGGTGGGGAGTATGGAGGGGGACAGGGGGAGGATTGCTGTGGCTCAGGCACAGGAGGCACAGCAACGCATGGCTGGGTACAGCAAGTAGTTTCATATATATCCACTAATTGGGACGTAGTGGTTAACATTCGTTCATTAGCCAAATTGATGTGCAATTTATTTTTTTAGTTTACATGTCTCCAAGTTAGTGTACTGAATGCCTATTTTTGGTAATCTAAGATGTGCTACTTTACTTGTGAAAGGTTATAAGATGGTTATCTTTTTTTTCTTTACCCGTTTTGGAAAATTTAATTTAAAATACTTTGTTTATAATCTTTGGGGAGTAAGGTATAAATATTATTATTATTTTGAATACATATGTATGCTTGATATATTTCTTTAACTGGAATAAAAGTTTATATTAATTTACTATTGCAGCACCGCTAGGTTTCGTGCAAAATATTGGGAGCAGCTCAGGAGCCCCGGGTCAGCCAGCTACGAGTACCATAGCCCCTGCACGGCCGGCACCTCCACCACCACAGTGCCAGAGTCAACCCACCTTGGCACAGCTTGGCTCTCCAGGCCCCTGGTCCTTACCAGCTGAGCTAGGACAGGCGAGTCCATTAGCCAATATACAGTCATTGAAATCCAAATTATTATAATGTAATGTGTGCTGAATTAAGCTACTTATATAACATTTGTAGTCTTTACATACATTTACATTTCGTTTAACTAAGAATCTTTATCGATTATTCATTAGGATTCATCAGCCCCAAACTTGAAAGAGGGACAAGTGCCTCCAGGCTGCGTGCTGTCGTGGAGGGGAGGGAAAGGTCTCAAAGTGTTCTTCTTTCAACAAGAGGGACATATTGTCTCTCCTCAGATGCCTCTCACACTGAACGTCTACAAAAAGATAGGTAAGACTGCACCGGGTTTCAAAAACATCAGAACTTTGGCTTTCAAAATGTATTATATGGATGTTGTTTTAACATTTCCTCTGTGACCATAGCATGTGCAGGAGTGTAAGTTCATGTTTTCTTGTGTGTTACTCGACAATGCTTAATGGATTGTTACATTACTCAAGTACTGCTGATTAATAACTTGCATCAAATTCTCAAGATTTACTCGTGGTAAGTGGCACACCATTGTGTAGCTTGAGAGGACGATGAAAGGTGGAGAGAGCATTTATTTGTATGGCATTGGTCAATGTAGACTATCGAAGATTCCGCTAATTTTCAATCGAGGCTTCTTTTGTTGATTAATTTGTATATTGTTAATTCATTTCATATTTAAGTCAAATTCTTTTCTAGGTGGGAGTCCTTGTGCAGATGATCCGGACTTGATGGGAGTGATCGAGGTACCAGGCTGCTGGCGACTTAAACTGCGAGGGAAGAACACCTATGTTCTCCACACTACCGGGACTGTTATACAGACTGGGAATGTTTACGTGTTTAATGATGACTCTACCTGCCCCGGTAAGACCTCTAGTCTTCTCTTGCTGCTTTACCTTCACTTCTTCTGCGTTAGGCTTAAAGTTTTTAGGCTTCCATTTTGTTTGTACCCAGAGTCCATATATATATGGGCACGGTAGTTTGTGTATATATTTTTATATAATTATTCTTGTTCTTTCCTGTCTAACGTTAAACTCTGAGAACAGAATAGACAAGACTCACTTTTAGTTATTTTCGAATATTATGGACTCGATTAAAATTTCTCCATTACTTTTAAGAAATCTGCAAGTTTATTTACACAAAATATATGATACGTTCGATACGTTTAGCTGAAATTGAATTAAACTAATATTTTCTCTACATTTATAGAGAAATTAGATGTATTTATAGATGTATATTTGGAGCCATATTGCAGTATTTTGTAATGTGGTTTGTGGCACATGACAGTGCGAGTGGTGGTGCTCCAACTGCCTCTGGATGTGACCAAGACCATGGAGACCGACTTGTTGGCTCTCTTAAACGAACTGACTGACCTGCGCAACGAAAAGGAAGGAGTTGTTGATAAGATAACGACAGGTGTTAGCTCAGGTGAGCCAGGAAAGTACATTCTAACAACATATGTTAACATTTCCGTCTAAAGAATATACTCTAGATCATAGGTTCACAAACTGGAGCCATGGTCCTGGAGAGTTTTTTTTTTCAATATGTAGGGGGTCATGAGTTGAGGCAGTGTACAGGTTATGTAGGGGGCCATGAGTTGAGGCAGTGTACAGGTTATGTAGGGGGCCATGAGTTGAGGCAGTGTACAGGTTATGTAGGGGGCCATGAGTTGAGGCAGTGTACAGGTTATGTAGGGGGCCATGAGTTGAGGCAGTGTACAGGTTATGTAGGGGGCCATGAGTTGAGGCAGTGTACAGGTTATGTAGGGGGCCATGAGTTGAGGCAGTGTACAGGTTATGTAGGGGGCCATGAGTTGAGGCAGTGTACAGGTTATGTAGGGGGCCATGAGTTGAGGCAGTGTACAGGTTATGTAGGGGGCCATGAGTTGAGGCAGTGTACAGGTTATGTAGGGGGCCATGAGTTGAGGCAGTGTACAGGTTATGATGCCTTAGGATAGGCAGGAAATAAACAGCTTGTAGAATGAGCTCTCGGGTTGCTAAGAAAAACAAAATGTTAATACCGAGAGTAGGTGAGGTATTAACACACCTACTCTCGACGTGCGGCTCTTCCTTTGTAATGGAATGATAATAGATGAAGTAACTGGTGTGAATTTCACTGACCGTAAAGAGTTTGGGAACCACTGATCTAGAGCATGTTTCGCAAAATATCAATGAAATTCTCTTTGAAAACCATTCATTTTTTCAAATAAGCTATGTAAAATTGTATTTCAAATACAGCTGACACAGTTATGAAAATAAAGCAAGCTTTCAGAGTGGTAAACTGAATGATTGTTATAAAACAGTGTTTAAATTTTCTTATTAATTTTCGCAATTTTTCATATCGATATGCTACATATTTTGGTAAATAAAGTTTAGAATTATAATTGTTGCTATTATAAATGTTGATTGTGTCTGTTTTATTTCAGTTTACAGTGATTTGACGAAGAAGTTGAACACAGCGGTGAAAGAGACGGTTCCTGGCGCACACAAGAGCACCAAATGGCTGAGAAAAGGCACTGGATCTTTGGGTGCGTTTCATAATGTTTGATATTTTGTTACTATGACCTACATGTTATTATTGCCCCTAGAGGCAGCTAGTTGCATGTGCACCTTATATATATATATATATATATATATATATATATATATATATATATATATATATATATATATATATATATATATATATATATATATATATATATATATATATATATATATATATATATATATATATATATATATATATATATATATATATATATATATATATATATATATATATATATATATATATATATATATATATATATATATATATATATATATATATATATATATATATATATATATATATATATATATATATATATATATATATATATATATATATATATATATATATATATATATATATATATATATATATATATATATATATATATATATAATATATTAGCTGTTTCCGGCCACGCATTGCTGTAGCTCAGTCTGGTTAAATGGAAAAGAAAGAAAAGAGAAAGCACACGTTTCTAGTATGTTTAATTTCACAATGCTTGTGGGTATACAATATTTTGTGTTGTTCCATTGTCTGTAGAGATAGATTGTCTTGCTTGCTGACTCTAGAACTCCCGACCCTCCCCCATTGCCCTATCCTCCCAACCATTTCCTACTCCCCCATCCCCTCGTCCTCCCCACCATTCCCCCACATGAAAAACACAGTTTAAAAAAAAAATTTGTTTTTAACTTTTTACAGATGTGACATCTATAGTAGGTATATACAAACACGCACGTATTCGAATGCAAAGATGTGTCAAATTTCAAAGCAATGGGTGAAGAACTTTCTGAGATTTAAGATTTTGAACAAACAAACATTTACATTTTTATTTATATAGATATATACAAGATTTAGCTTGAATGATTATAATTTCTTTACAGTGAAAATGGGTGGCAATCTCGTGTCCAAAGGAATGCACCTTATTGCTGAGCATGTTCCTGCGGGTGACCAGCCACAGGTATGCTTCTTCCTTATGCAGTATGCTAGAAGGTTTCTCTTTATGATACATGCAGAAGTGCCTGTAGGTTTCACTTTGATACTTGCAGTGTGCTTGAAGGTTCTTCCTTATGAAACATACAGTGTGCCGGAAGGTTCATCCTTATGACACTTGTAATATGCTTGAAAATTCATCTTTATGACACATGCAGTGTGCTTGAAGGTTCCTCTAAGATTCATGCTGTGTGCTTGAAGATTTCTCCGATGACTACTAGCTGTCCCCTCCCCCAAATACGTCACATTTGTCAAGACATCGACCCATCCTTTAAAAATGCGAGGTTTTTGTAAAAAATTAAAATATCAAAATATTGACTTTTTTACACATTCACGTAGATAAGTTATACATGAGTTGCTTGGATTCATACATTTCTGATTAATTAAAACAGTTTTACAGATTTATAAATTTGTAAAACAAATGATAACTGTTTCACAAATTTTTACAAATTGGAGTGATACATTGAGAGAACAAGCTGTTTATGTTTCTTGTTGCTGGGACACTTGAGGCTTGGCGTGGGCACTTGCCGGTGATGGGTTCTGTGATGGCATTACAGATGTTCGCTTCATTTACAACAGTCCCATCTTTTTTTTGTAGGAAGAGCTATGTTAAACTTAATGTATGAACAGGACTCCTGTGGGAAAGCCCACATAGACCAGTGGTGCAGTATGAGAACATTTACCTAAAATTGATGCTGGAGAGTCGTATTAAGGGATATGTACTGTGTACATATGTGAATGATTAATGTGAAGAGATTCACAGCATCAAGGGAAGATAATATACCCAAGGATTGGCCTTACAAAAGGTTTAGTTTATTTAACAATTTCACATGAGGGGAGTACCAAGAATGCTTCAAAAATCAATTAGTGAGTCAAGCAACCCCTGTTACAACTAGCTCTGGGATCCAGCATTATCAAACCACAAAGGTATACCTTCACTATACAACCTTCCAGCACATAAGTTCGAACCCACATCACGGCTTCTGTGGATTTGTTATACCTTCACTCCCCCTCCCTTTCTGGCCCGTTGTCGTCGTCGTGATGGGGCTTGGTGGGCGGCTGCCGGAGTGTGATGCTCCATGGGTCAGTCCTCTGTCCTTTTGAAGCCTTATGCTCCTGCTGCTGTCTTCACCAATTTTGCCAGAAATCTTTTCCTTGTGCTTCATTTTTCTTCCTTCCCCCCTCTTCTTTCTAATTGTCATTTCCTCCCAACTTTTTGCCAGTCTTGATTATTCTTTCAAATTTCTTCTGTTTTGATGCCCGGGTGTTTGGGGAGGCATACTCTCTCACCCGTAGAACCAAGGTCGTACCCAACGTCTTGAACGAGGGGACGCTCTTATTGTTAATCCTCCTTTTGTCGCTGAACACGATCTCGATGGACTGACGGTTCTTAAGGTGGCGATTGTAGGGCATTTACTCACGATGCACCCCTAGGGGGCCCCGGCAAGACTGGCAACATGTCTCTTGTTGGGTGTCCTATCCTCTAATTGTGACTCCGTGGTGGTTGCAGGGGCACATTCGTGAAGGAAAGTATTATCTCTCGCTTCCATGTCGCTGAATACTGTTCCTCTTATGACTTCTCAGCCCTCGAGTCAGACTGTGTTGGAAGACCGGGCTCTGTAGCTTACACTACATTGGGCCCAGACCTAGCTCCTCCTTTGACCCTCCTAACTACTCCCTCTGGCTCCCCTCCCTCCTCTGTGGTTGGGTCGAGCCATACGCCCCCAGCGGTGACCACTTCGTCCCCTGGTGCGGCTCGGTTTCTCATTGTGACTACCGCACCTTTTAACTTTTTGAGATATATACAAGAGTTGTTACATTCATGTACTCTCTCTCTCTCTTTCTCTCTTTCTCTCTCTGAGGGTTCTCAATGCCCTCCCCGCCACGGCCGTACTCACACGATCCCTTCCCATTCTAATTCGTACCAAGCCTTGTTTGGTCCTACTTTGTGGGCTAAATACTTTGATCTCCTCCCTCTGGATTCTACACCTGACGATTTCTCACTCCATAAACACCCTATTGATTCGGTGGATGCCTCTATTACTTTTAACCCCACCCGTTTAAGTACCCATGTTGTTGCTGCTCCTTCACCGGATGCAGCTACCTGCTTAGCCGCATTGTCCTGCATTGGACAATGCAGGACAATGGACCCCTGTTTGGACAGGGGTCCAAACCCCCTTTTTGGACCCCTGTTTGGGTCTCCAAAAATGCTCGGTTAAATGCCAGTGTTGGCACTGTTCTCCTCCCGCACCATGTTTCTTTAAATGAGCGTGCGGATGCTGCCACTAGAGAAGCTGTCCGCTCTTGTCCCATCTCCCATAAAGGTATTCCTTATTCCGACTTTTACCCGGTGATTCATTCCTCCATCCTTGCCCGTTGGCAGGGCTGTTGGTCTTCTGTTGTTGGTAACAAACTGCATACTCTTAAGCATATTGTCTCCCCCGTGGCTTTCCTCCTACCACTGTAACCGACAGTGGGAAACGGCTCTAGCGAGGTTGTGTATTGGCCATACACGCTTAACTCACGGTCACTTGATGGAGCGCACCCTGCTCCGTATTGTCCAAATTACATTGTCCCTCTTACAGTCGTGCATATTGTTGTTGAATGTCCTAACATCCAGGACGAGCGTGTGTCTAGCATTCCGACCGTCTCTCGCGGTCACTTGTCCCTCGTTAGAATTCTTGATGACTTGGATACTTTTAATATCGTTCGCCTTATGGGTTTCTGTTCTTGCATTGGCATCCTTAGTGATATTTAGTGCCCTCTGATTATTCTGCACATTTGATGGTGCTACATAGCCTTCCCAGTTTGGTGCCTTCTTTTGATAATTACTTACTTACTTATACCTTCACTATTTTGCTAAAGTGTAGTATATATTTGTTTTAACATTCGGAAACCATTTCATGTGTTGAGCATTGAATGTTTTTTTTATATATTATATGCTTTAACTATATTTATCTCTACCCGCAATGCTTCTGATGAATGAACAACTCAGGCGGAGACTTATGTGAGTACTATAGGCCGCTGCCTCCACCACTTGCTAACTTGGAGACAGTTCATGTAATAATAATGGTAGTAACAATAATGACTAATTGAAACTATAATAATTATAATGATAATTACAAAAGTAAAACTTGGTCTTGCGTCGTAATAAAAGGAAGGACTCAATGCTTCAGTGCCACTACACAGTGCATAGTAATCCATATATATATAGCTCTGTAGGAGGCTTGGTCGACGACCGGGCCGCGGGGACGCTAAGCCCCGGATACACCTCAAGGTAGTTGGGGATTCTTGGCCAGATGGATGATTTCTAGTGATATTCTTCTGAACAACGGGGAACGTCGAGCCAGACAAAACGTCCCCATCTTTGACCTTGACTATAATATGGATTTCATTAAGATTACCTTCAGTGGCGAGGCTTTGAAACCTGTGCGTGACAGTGGACATGCAAGGGGTCAGAGCTCCGGCAAGAACGTTTTGGGCGCCTGATCTCGACCACGCACCTTGGCCCGTCCTCTGACCTCTTCGTTAGACCTTCCTCTGACCTCTTACACCTCCTGATGCCACACACGAGGTAGTGTATGGCGTGAGGGGGGCTCTTAATCCCTCCTCTTTATTATGATTCGGGCACCAATCTTTTGTGTGACTATGAGACGTGTATGAAATATGAGGAAGACTCCTGTTCCCACTGAACAAAACAGATTCCCACGACGGTTCATCGATTCGGGAACAATATACACACCACTCACTACTTCGAGCTGGTCAGAGCATCTAGATGTTGTCGTGGAGTCAACCACTGGGTTGTCTCTGTAGTCTTTACCCCTCACAAAATCCCATTACAGGTATAACCTTTACGTTGTGAGGGAGTTTTACTCATTCCATTTCCAGGGTGGCAAAGTAGTGAGTCTCAATGAGCTCCTCTTCTGGTCACACCAGGGTGCGGGTGGGTTGGATTACTGAAGACTCTCCCTCCTTCTCTCTGTTGGCATTGTGGACTGTTAAGTGTAGTTCATGCGGGCCCTCTCCTGACTATAGGAATGGCGGGTGTAGCCAGCCACTGGATGATCTTACGGGTCCCCAGACCCACCCACTATAGTGGAGTCACTCGTGTGGGCGCCTTGTGGGTATGTATGGACGCCAGAGTCGGATTGAGGAGGGAAAGTGTCTTTATATCAACTAGTGCAAAATCTTGTAGCAGTGCCCCTCTAGTAAATGGGAATTTATGCTGAGGAAAGGTACCCTCTCCTGCATAAGCTTACGCTTGACTCCTCTCACTGTCCTGGGAGAGGGAATCCCATCACCCACGGTGGAATTGATAGTTATTTTTCCTGTCATCGCCCTCTAAGACTAGTGTGTGGTTAATCAGGTCTGCAAGTCTACGCCCTCTGGAGGCCTCGACGCCTTACCGACTTTTCTCTAATGAATATTCCTAGTACTGAACATCAAGTGAGCTTTCACCAGCCAGTTGTTTCGCATAGGCTCATTACATCATCGACCTCCTTGCTGATTGGTTCATTTTATACCTCTTAACCCTTCACAGTTCAGCTATAATACCATCTGACCCCATTGGTTCAAACACTACACCTAAGTTAACCACATTAGTCCTATTGAATGCTATCCTTTCTCCCCTTATAAACTGTTACAGATAAGAAATAAATTCTACATCTTTTAACAACTAATCACGTCAAAAACTAAATAATATACCTAACAGATACTTGCGGTGTAAAGGTTGTGTTTACGCCTCACAGAGAGCATGGTATCAGGGGGGACTGGTGTAAACACCCGCAAGCGGCCTTGCCTCCACCCTCGCATGTTTGCACATATAAACAACAGTATATCTGAGGGCGAGGTTCATAAATGAAAGCGACGTCGAAGTAAATGTATAAAGCATGTTTTATTAAGGTAGTGGACTACGAATTCATTGACTTGACAGAGGTCTTCTGTATATTTGTATATACTCGATTTTGTAAACCCGGTAACTACAGTAAGATATGTATTATAATGCTTAAATATTTTGTACTTACTTAGTTGTGTTTGAGGGGGTTGAGCTTCGGCTCTTTGGTCCCGCCTCTGCACTGTTTAGTGGTTATATCAATAGTCAAACTCATTGCTTTGATCATTCAAGTGACACTATATTTTAGATATCATGAATTTCAAAATAGATAATATAATAGGTAGATAAACTAGTAAAATGTTAAAATTGTAATTCACTTGAATATCAGTAAAAATCCAGTTTTTTTTCTCGAACCAGACTAAAATGCTGCTCATAACATATATATTACTGGATATTATATTGAAATTATACCATTTGTGACCGAACAATAGTTATGATGGCCACCTATAAAATTGTAATATATTATATATTTGTGTTTTACAGGAAGAATCCCCAGTCCACACACAATTGTTAGCAGCTCTAAAACTGTTTAATTTGAGTAAGGAAGAAGGCTCTATTACTTACGTGTGATCAACCACTACAAAATACGTCTGCCCTCCTTCTTAATATTTACCTCACCAGAAACGCAATGTAAAAACCAGAAAATGCAACACTAAACGAAAGACGGTTAAGACATTAGACGAATATAATCATATTTTTTAATTACCAAAGATGCCAAAACCTTTATGTTGGTGAAATTCATTGAGATAAGATGGAAGGCAATTAGTTAGGGAGTAAAGTGTATAGTTAAAAAAAAATAGAAATTAGTGAATTTGTTATTGTACTTTTAGAAAAGACAAAATCCTTAATATGTGGAGACAACTAAGTAAGGAATTAAATGATCTGGAACGTCAACGATACAGGTAATATATTGTAAGTGATGCACTATAATTAAGTCGTACTGTAATTATTATGTATTCTTGGTAAGAAACGTAATATTATCTTGTGCCAGACTCAACAATTGTAACCTCTAATATGAGAGAACATAACATGGTCAGCAGTTATCGTCACATAGGATAGATGTTATGTTTTTATTCTTGAACCTCGGTGACTGTCCCTCTTCACACACTCGGTGACTCTCTTCACACACTCAAGTTGTTCTGCTCTCGTATGGCGTCCTGAACGCTATCTAAGAACACCTGAACACATGAAACACATTAAGTGCAATATAGATGTACTTAACGCTTTTTATTCTCGAACCAAATATATTAATAGATGCAATTTGCCTTAATATTTAAATATAAGTAATATCCCTGTATGCCATATTACGCAAAATGGCCCCACATGATTGGTGGAGCTCTAATCTGCCATTCACGATCTCGTAACTGCTTATTATAGCACGGTTTCCCCTGTAAGCCAAGCCCTAGACACAAGCAACTTTGTCTAAAAGTCCATAATACTAGGAAACAATATAACCCTACACAAGTTCCTAATATATACACATTTCTAATATAGTGTAATGCAGAAAATGTATAGCATTTTTATTACATTCACAAGCTAGAGACACCGTGAACTAGGAACACTGTGCACGTCCATGATCTCTGGCATTTACACATGTTCAAAAATTTACACGATGCTTCAGTGTATCAAACAATAAACTATTATAATGTAGTTTATGAAAAATAAATTAGAACTTTAATGACCTGCTTATATTAATTTTAAAATTAAATTTATATTAGAACTTTCCTATTGAACGTAACACGTATATGCTTTGTACACATCAAAAGTTGCTTATAAAATGGCAGAATTTTTAATCTCTGTTCTCACATGCTTATCTTATTTTATTTATAACAATAATTAATTTCGCTCTCATAAGGTGTAAATCATAAAAAAGCTCCTGAATATACAATAATCTCATACAGTTGTATACTCTGTAGCCAGCTTCTTGAATTTAAGATAATTTTACAAATTGTTATTTTGTAAAATGTTTTCATTGTGATTTATAAATTAGACTTACAGTACATTAGTTACAGTGTTGTTTGTGAGTTGCTTTAAGAGACATATAGTTTGTTATTGAACTCAAAATATTTCAGAACTTATGCTTTGTTTAACAATTGTATTGTTAATATTGTCTCATAAATATCGAGCACTGTTCATTGTATTTATTGTAATCATGATCTAATATTTAAATTTTTGATTACCGTATAAATTGTATAAAAATTTTATTTTAAAAAATTACTAATTATATTTTATATTAAATTATTTGTTTTGCTTCTTCCTTATTTTATATTTTTTTTTATATATAGAATATCCCATGGTGAAAAACCCATTTCAGTGTTTGCACTTTTTGAGACTTGAAAAGTGTTCGTTGTTCGTATGGACTTTAGTGAATATTGTAAGGTCGTTATCTGTTATGTAGCATCTGTAGCAGCGATTGTAGTAATAGTGTTTGTTTATTGATCACAAGGGCACTATTCTGCAAGGTCCATAAGCTTCTAGCTTATGGACTCATTCTTCAGTAGCTTATGGTTGAGAAACGTATTGTGTATGGATAACACCACCCAGCCCACGACCATCACATAGTATGGATAACACCACCCAGCCCACGACCATCACATAGTATGGATAACACCACCCAGCCCATGACCATCACATAGTATGGATAACACTACCCACCCCACGACCATCACACAGTATGGATAACACCACCCAACCCACGACCATCACATAGTATGGATAAATCGTATATATGCGTATAAATCGTGTATAAATCGGGTAAATCGTATATGTGCCTTTCTTTGTGCCTTTTCTGTTCCTGAAACAAGAAGTTAACTTCGATAAAATTTCCCACTGATTGATTCCTTGCGTCAGATCCTGTTTCCTTGAATTAAATAAAATTTAAATACATTCCGAGACAATTTATTCATACACTGTATGCATAAACACTCTCGGTCTACGCATACAGTGTATCCAACCAAATGAAACCAGCATGATTGAAAAATGAGTGGAAATAGTCAACATATCAAATTCAGAGCTACATCATCTTCAACAAAGGCTGAGCCGGCGTTTTCCCCGAGTCCACGAGGTGAAACTTTCCAATTCAACTCTCCACACTACAGCAGTATCATAGGCGATAGGAACAGCTCAGGGAAGAGCTGTTATGGTAATTCCTACTTGGGCAAGGAGATCGTGCCTTTTCCTTTACCACCTATTCATCAACATATCTGCATATTCCAGTGTAAGAAATCAACATCAAGAACAGCAGCAATACGTGCTTAGAAGCCGTGTCTAGACAGACACCACCACCACCCTTTCCCTGCAGGTACCCGACACACCTGGACACCTGCTGTCTCGGACCAACTTCACTCGCCAGTCTAACCGCTCGTTTAGGACTACCGGCGATAGTTACATGCACATCAGCACCACCTGCACTAAGGCCTGGCCGCCTATATAAGCAGCTCACCACCAGCCAGACCTCGGAATACTCTTAGTGCTTCAAGCTGCAAGATCTACTCCCGCTCTCCTGGGTGTCGGCAGACTCGAGCAGCTCTTGTATAAAGTATATATCCTGCACCTTTAATTTTGTTATTAACGTAACTGTCACGTGTTTATATTTGTCACGTTGTATTTTGTGTTCTCGCCATTTATCATAGAGGCATTGTATTTGTTGTTAGTCATTTTTGTAATATTTAAGTTTTTCATTCTCTTAGAATTTATCCCGCAACTCTCACACCGTGAAGAGGTCAGAAGCAGTTTTATTTACTTTTATGATGACCAAAGCACACATCAGAAGATGAAGAAACAGCGACGTTTCGGTCCGTTCTGGACCATTATAAAGTAGTGTGTTTATGGGTTCAATTTAGTTAATTTCTTTATTATGCACCCCATACCCATCCCGTGGGCAGTGGTATAAAGGATTAGTGACACATAATCGGTTCAGGAACTGAACCCTAGAGTTCGTTTTGCTAAGCAAATACCAATCTTTTGACGATAGTTACACAATTATTTGTTATATATACATGTACGCATGCTCATGCATACATGTACATATACATAAGTATACATATTTAATCACCCACACAAATACACACATCAATAATCTTTTTGTCACAAGTGATTCAACAAGAGGCTCACAAGTCACTATACAAGGCACTTTACATCTATGATGAGTCGCACAGTTACTAGTCTTGCTGCACACCCACCCAACTGGGCGGCAGCTTTACAGTCATGTGCATGCATTACTTACAGTAAGCAAATTTTGGATACTTCGCTAGAGTGCAAGGATTATGGCAACCAATTCTGTTTGAAAAGTGGAGGCCAGTTACTTATACGCGCTCCACACTCATGGGAGAAGGAACCATCTCTCCTTGTCACAACTGCACTTCCAGCTGCACCATAGGACTGATGCAAGGATCCATCAGTGTAAATATTCTGGGAAAGGGAGCGCTCTCTGACTAAAGCATCAATTTGGCTTAAGGCATTGTACTTTGCTTCTTGTCGAAGCAAGGCTTGTTCTTTAATTAGCTTCTTGGGTGGGAGAGGGGGGGGACAGTAATTTAGAAAGGAATGATCTCCCATGGGGCAAGAAAGTGTCGTTGTTGTGTCTCTTGGTAGAGGTGATGAGTTATACATACTGAGCACAGTGGCAGTTTCGGTAATCCATTTGGAGGGATGCTGACCTTCAAGGAAGAAGGCTTGGAGGGCTTCAGTGCAAGGGTTAGGGTGGGTTAACCTAAGCATCTTGATACCAATTAAAGCATTAATGTCAGTGATACGATCACTTACACATGAAATATTAAGTTCCTTCCTCATGTTTAGTAATTTAGTTGTACGGGGGCATCCAAGGATAACCCTCATGGCTTCGTTTTGCATCTTTTTCCAGCCCTCCAAGCATTCTCTCAGGCACTAGAGCAAGCATGGGTGCAGCATAATCAATCGGAGACCTAATATATGAGATACATTTTGACAATTCTCACATTTGCACCATAGCTTGGATGGTAGCCTGCCACAGCCTTGAGAGCACGGAGCCTCTCTCTACATTGGCGACTCAGTCTGGCTAAAACATTGCGGTACAGTGGAACCTCGAGACAAAGGTATTATTTTTTTCTGGTAACATAGTAGAGCAGAGAGCCATCATGCAACTGCATTTTGCGAACGGCCCCACGCCGTCTGGGTGGGCGTCGGTTCAGGATCTTTATTTTTCTCTACTGAGATGACTAAGCCTAGTTCCTGACATGTGTGCAATAGAGTTCAGAACATTTTGGGTGTTGGTATACCCATTGGTGTAGATCAGTATATCATCTGCATAGCTAATGTGTTCGCTGGGCCTTCCGGTTACGGACGGACCGAAACGACGTCGTCTCTTCATCTTCTGGTGTGTCATCAGCCACGTTATTGTGACTCATCTTCTGCATACGATTTTATGTTCCGTTCTGACATATAGCTTTTCTAAGGTCAGGGTTGTGTTCGGCAGACCTCCACACATCTATATATGCTTGATAGACAATGTCGTCTATATGTATAGATGCCATCTATAGGTAACGTATATCTAATAGATATATTAGTACATTGTATATCTGTACACTGTATTTACGGTGTATGGCAGACGTTAGTTTTCATTGCAGACCTGAAGCCTTATGCGACCTAGGGCTTCAGTGGCTTTACTTTGTTATGCTAAGGCACGTTTTTACAATGTTAAATATTTTGAAAAATTCTTAATTTGTTTATTGTGAATATAAAATCATCTATAAAAATGGCATTACAGTTACGCTGACATTAAATTCTACAATATTTAACACTGAAGAATCCCTACAAGGGCGATGGTGGGTGGAGGGTGTGAAGCCTAGCTGCTGCTCCCAGTCACCCCGGGGACACGCGGCCTCTCGCGTCTCACTCCTCCACAGCAAACATTTCACAGCTCAAACGTCGTCGTTTCTTCGTTTTCTTATGTGTGGTTTGGTCACAGATCAAACATAAAAAATATATTGGTAGTTCTGAAATTTTATTTGAGAATAAGATAATATTCACAAGGGTCTCAAATGCACGATCGTTTAAATAATAATAATAAATTGTCACTGAAATATATCTGCGTTAATTTGTGAGCTGAAAGCGATTTTTCCCTCTGGAGACACCCCCTGTGGTTAAAACAATGTGTTCTGCCTGGAGGAAGATGCCCATACTCCTTCTTGCAACAGTTTTGTGCTCTACACCCAGCTTACTAGGTGAGTTTTTTACCAAACTCTTCCGCTTAATTAATGGCATAAATGTAAGACGCACTTGTGCTTGTATTTCCTTTCATACGCATCAAAATTCCCTCTAACCACGTCCATTCTGCGTTCTAAGGGATGTCAATTAAGTGGACTCAGCTGAAGGGGGTTCTAATGTCCATTTGAAGAGTTTGAGGGTGTTCTGGTGCAAATTTAAAAAGTTTAGTGGGGATCCGAGCGACAGGAGAGCTGCATCATGGCTTTAACTGTAATTCTTTTACAATCTTTGGCCAGGTCTAGAGATTAATTTTTATTTTGTATTGCCTAGCTTACTTTTTGATTATTATATGATGTTGATAATGTTGAATTAAGTTGTTGCATGTTGAATTCTTTAAGCCTGTTAGCTGGATAGTAATTCTTGCACAGCCCAATATGTTAATTTACTTTGCTGTGGAACAGTGAAATAATTTACGTACATTGTTACTATTAGTTAGGCATGGTTGGGATATAAGTAATTTGCACATTGCATTTACATTAAAGAAGTTGCTTGACGTAGGCAATTTAACATAGCAGCATGGATGATCTGTCTTGACTAGTGGGCTGGCACGTAATTATAATATATATACCATACACTTGCATGAACTCGCAAGCATTTTAACAAACAGAACACTTCCCCATATGAGAGTATCGAACCATGGGCCAGCAGGTGCCAGGCCAAGAAGTGTTCTGGTTGTTAAATTGCTTGCGAGTTCATGCAAGTGTATGGTATACTGAAGACACGAGTTTTTCCTAGTAAATATGATTGATAGAAAATGAGTGTTTGATCAAAGGCTATTCCTCTGGTGTCGTTGGGAGGCGGGGGGGAGGAGATTTCGTGGTGGAAAACCCACACAAATTTCTGCCCTTTTCAACGATCTGAGGGTAGCCTAGTGGTTAATACTTTAATTCTGGATACAGTCTTGGGCTAAAGTGATTCTTGCCAGTTGGTCAGTATAGCACCTGTGTGACCTTGTAACAACCCGGCTGATAGGCCTTAAGCAGCTAATGACCTCAGTGGCTGCTATTGAAAACACAGGTCTCGAGAATCGCTCAGTTATGTTTCCTGTGCTTCTTACTAGTAATAAATGATCTAACGTATCACAATACCAATTATGTCTTTCATGATAGGGTGAGTTTTTCTATTAAAATGTGGCATCACTCAGTACGATACAAACAACATAATTGTCTAATTGCATGGAGTGGGCTATGAATACCCGTGGGTGGTGGGCCAGGGGGTGCGGGCGGCAGAGAGGCGACCCCCGCGGTACAATATCACTGCTGTGCTGGCTGGCAAGACCAAGGAGGCGCTGGAGGGTCCCAGGCTGGTGTCTCGTCAGTTCTCTCGTCTCGTCGTGTCCTCCGGCTCATCCGTCACACTCAACTGTACCATAGAAGATGCTGGAGACGTCTCGGTGAGTATATTTTACACCTTGTGGTGGATGACGGTGGTCAAGGGTGATGGGATTGCCTGTAAGCAATTCATTAAATCTGATAGGGCTTGTAGGAAACATGACGGGATAAGTCAGGTCAGGGAGGTCAAGGTTTGTCATAATTTTTTTGTTTTAAGTAATGTACAAAGAGGGTTAGTAATGGCTGCAGGTATACTATTATAATATTTCATTCACCTGGGCACTAGGAGAATATAATAGTTTAAGAGTTCAGTGTAGTGGAACTTAAAGGAGCAATATTCAGAGGTAACATAATCACAAAAGATACTGAAAGGAATAAACAAAGTAGGAAGGTAGTCTTTTCTAGAGTAAGGAAGAGAGCCTTGTAAATCATACTGCACGGTTCGTCAAACGTGCAGAAAACAGCAATTATACAATTCTAGGAGTGTGGTGGCAACCACCAGCCGGGTCGGACGTTCCCCTGGTCTCCCTGCTGGTGTTTACATTGGGCGAGTGTTGGTTGCCCTGACGGGTGGTTGTTTGCCACTGCGGGGCGACTGGTTTTTCAGTCAAGTATGGGGACTTACGTGCTGTCACTAAGGAGGAAGGACTCGGCTGGGCTGACTTTTACCTGTCGGGTGGATAATGGTGTCGTCAGCAATACTGTTTGCAGTTATGGGTGTGAAAGTGGAAGATCTCGTCGGTCTACAGGTTGTTCGTGACGACAGAGTAGTTGTGAAGTTCGCCGAGAGTGGTTTGTTCCGCAGGTTTTTCGACCAGTATGAGGACAAGGTGGTGGGGCCGAGTAACGGTCTTGGCTCTGTGACTGACGAATTTGAGTGTGGAGTACACATACGTGTCTATTAAGAATGCGCCATTTGAAATGTCTGATGATCTTCTCCGTTGGGCTCTTGCCAGGTATAGGCATGTGGACGCTCTTCGTGTCTGTAAATACACAACCGGGGACGTCAAGGGACTCGGTAATGGTTACAGAACAGCCAAGATGGTTCTTCATGGCATGTGCCTTCTTTCGCGCTTGCTGGCTTTACGGTCTGCTTCTCCTACCGTGGGCAGACTCTGACGTGTTTTAAATGTGGCCACATCGGACATTTGGCTGCTGTCTGCGACACTCGGATGTATGGTCGGGAAAATGTGTTTCATGAAGCGGATTTTCCTCTCTTGCCCGAGCGTGAGGATGTCTCGGTTGTAGAAATTGAAATTGAAATAAGTTTATTGAGGTAGCTCAAGCTATTCTCACCCCATTCAGTACAACGTGTTAATATATACATAGACACACATCACAAACAATAAACATATTACCAAACATTCTGAGAGGTAAAAATATACATTTCCTCCTTCACAAGTAGTATGGTATCAGACGTACACACAAATACTTTTATGACCTAGGTATACTGTATAGACAATTTGCAAGACACCTGCAGATAATTCAACAAAATATTACAATCTTGGTGCAAAATTTTTATATCTCTCAAGAATATCATCAACCTTTCCGTTGTGACACCTCCAGGCTATTTGTTCAGGAACAGTCCTTATCTCAGTGTTTCTATATACATTAATCAACGGACAATCAAGAACATAATGGGCCAGGGTGTGAGACCTTAACATACCACATAGTTTACACTTCGTGTCATTATCATGAACATCTATCCCATATTCCCAGTAATATTTGTACCCAAGCCTGAGCCGCATGTACACAGTCACTCCAAGCATTTCTCCTTTTACCATAAGTGAAATGGGTGTTTTGACTCACATACATGTAGTGTTGCATGGTTTGACTACTCTCATACATTATCTCTCTCCTCTCCACTCCCGCCTGTGCGTGAATATTTCTGATTTTGTTTCTTATTTGTCTCATTGTGAATTCACATTCAATATCAACTTGTGGTTTTGATGTGGCACGTTTGGCCAAGTCACCGCCACCTCGTTGAGCACTATTCCAACATGAGATGGAACCCACATGAATTTCACAATTTCACACTATATCCTTTCAGCTGTATCTCGGTTATTCTTCTCTTACAGTCCTCAACTATAGACATGAAGACTGGGTTTCGACTGTTTAAGGACTCCAGTGCTCCTCGGCTATCGACAAATACAAAAACATTTTTGTCGTCATGACGTACTTCCTCCAAACACGCCAGAATGGCCTGCAGTTCAGCTTGTGTGGATATATAATTACTAAGCCGGAGTTCAATTATCCTGTCCACAGTCCCAAACTCCGTATAAGCCCTTATTAGGACACCACACCCGGCCCTGCCATCCTCCGCCACCGACCCGTCGCAATATACATGTAAACTGTTGCCTCTTGGTAACCGAGATATCATGCTTCCATACAAACACCGTAATTGTCCCGGTTCATGATGAATCTTTTTCACCTTGAGGGGTACAATTTCGACGTCTATTTTCTGTACTTTCCAGGGAGCAGACATATTACACTGTCGAGAGGGTTTACAGCAGTCAAGTACGTCGTATACCCTGAGGTCATGAGCTAATCCTCTCGTGTAGCGTGTCTCCCTCAGTTTCCTGGAAGTGTGTACGTCACTCAAGCAGGTCTGAACGCTCTCAAACAGCTTATCCCCTCCTTTTCTCAGCATGAAACGAATAGATACTCTAGTGTTAATGTCACGGACTCTATCACACACACTCTGTAAATTTAATTCCATTCTCATTATTTCAATCATTGCATTTCTTTGACATCCAAGAATAATCCTCATAGCCTCGTTCTGTATCAGCTCTATTTTTTTAATTCTGCCTTGGCCGGTGTAAGACAATACGGGTGCTGCGTATGATACCCCTTGTGAGAGGACGGCCGGGGTGATGGGTGCCGTCCTGGTTGGTGGTGTGGGTGTCTGGGAGGTGGGGGGTGCGGACCTGCTCCCGCCGTCGGCTTCCTCGCCTCCGCCGGCCCCGTCTCCAGCTCATGTGTCGCCTGAAGGGTGTGGGCCTGTACCCCCTGTGGATGAGGCTGATGTTTTTCCGGATCGTGTGTTGGCCGGCCGTGGGCTCTATTGGGATACCTCTTGCTGGGGCCGACAGTTCGGATGATCAGAGGCCTACGGCGCCTGCTGCTGGTGCCTCCCCTCCTTGGGAGGTTGCCCCTAGTGAGCGTGACCTCGTGGTGGTCCTCAAGAAAACTGTGCGCCGGGAGGCCTCTGATCCTGTGCCCGGTGGTAGGGGCCCTGGCAAATGTGCGTTCCCTGTGGTTCCCCCTGGAGTGAAGAACTGTGTGACTATCAGTACGGACCTCTGTGGCTACCCTTCTCCGTCCCCTGGTGCTCGTACCCCTCGTGCTGCACCCCCTCCCTGTGGTATCGGCCAATGGAGTCACGCTCGATGCGTTTCAGACTTTGGAGCTTACTGTGGATTGCCGGGTGTATCTGGCGCCGTGGTGCCCCTATACTATTTGGGTGCCGAGGGTGAAGTGTTTTGTTTATGGGGTGCCGGAGCTGATGCCTCAGCCTTGTGCGTCGCCTGGTAGACCGGTGTCTGATGATGTCAAGCTCGTTTGGGAGGCATACTGCTTGCGGTTTCCGAAGGAGTTTCCCGATAAATATGCTTAGTTTTGTGCTTGCATTGTATGCTCCCGGAACGTTTATAGCTTATTGTATTGTCTGTGATGTGGTTGTTTTGTTTGCCTAGTTTAGACCTTTGTGTTCATTGTTTTGTGTTTTGTTCATACTGTAATATGTTTTCCGTGTGTGTTAGCCTGTTATCTTCTGTGTTGTGTTTCTAATGGTGTTCTGTTTTTTTTTTTTTTTTTTTTGCCGGGTCCTGCGTGTTCCGGTATTTTTTCATGTGTGTCTGGGTTGTGGTTGCCGTTTGTTTCACGGTTCCTGTGTGTTCCGGTCGAACGATCACGTGTTTCTGTGCTGTGTGTGCCGGGTGTTCCGTGGGTTGTGTGTGCATTTAAATTTCTTACTTTGTACCTTTGCTTATGAATGTTTATTTTTCGCCATTGTGTGGTTTTTATTGTATGTAACTTGGCGCGCCTCGTCTGGGTTGTGCAGTTTATTATTGTGTTTTCTAATGTATTTTGCTTGTTTCATGGGTTCTCATTTACGTTTTGCACTATGTAAATTGTCCACTGTGTTTTTTATTGTTTACGTATGTTCAGCTTTTGGTGTGTGATCTGTACTGTATTTGTTCTGTGTTGCTTGCCTGTCAATTGGCGACATGTTGTTGGGTGGTGTGTGCTGGTGTAAGGTTTTTCTTTTGGTGCTTCGGTGCCTTAATGTTGTAATGCTTTCCTTGTCGTGTATTTGTTGTATAAATAAAATAGAAAAATAATTATACAATTCTATAATGGAGGAAATTTGAGCTAACTAATGTTTTACCTTGTTTACAAAGGTAACGTGGACCCGAGACAAGGTGGTCTTGACGGTGGACAGGCTCCGGTAAGTGCTCATAATCCATTGTTATCTTTAAGTTACAATTGACTAATATACTGTCCTGTCTCCCATTCACCCGCTATTCCACTTTCTACCCTTATCTTGCACCCGCTATTCCACTTTCTACCCTTATCTTGCACCCGCTATTCCACTTTCCACCCTTATCTTGCACCAGCTGTTCGCCTTCCCCCTTCAACTCTAAATGTTCAGTCATTTGAATACAGTTTTCGATATGATTAGTTTGATGATTAATTATCCTTTACCTTGCAGATATACGAGGGACGAGCGGGTGAGTGCTCTTCACGAGAGTGGGTCACGAGACCATGGCCTGCGCTTCGCCCGTGTCCAACCACGTGACTCTGGTGTCTTTAGGTGTCATGTTGACACACACCCCGAGCAAGTGGCTGAGGTCAAGCTCATAGTCATAGGTAAGGCCTTCAAATACCTGCCATTCATTTAAGCACATTATGTAATCCCAGTAAACTCGAGGAATGTTATAACAACCTCACTCAGCGATATCTACGAAAATGTATAATTATATATACTGAATATCCCCACTTCCCCTCTCGTTCCCACCAAGTATTATTTTCCTGTATATAAGTTTAACATGCTGGTGGTGCTGCATGTAATGATAGTAATAGGAATGATATGGATTACAGACGCTTACTCTGTGATCTTTGGATCGTCTGAGGTGTCGGTGGCTGAGGGAGCAACACTGTACCTGCTGTGTATGGTGCTGCAGGTCAGTGATGTACCGGAGTACATCCTCTGGTATCATAACACTAACGTTGTTGACTACTCCAGAAAGAGCATCTCGGTGAGTAATAATTACATTACTGTTCTCAACGTTATAAAACTCTCTTCAGTTGACATAAAAATAAGTAATGGTTAAGCGGATTAGATAAATATACGCCGCCTGTAATTTGATCTCGACAATTAAATATGAAATGTTTAATATTTGTCTGAACTAAAATATTTAAGTTTGCTTTTTACTGAATTTGCGAGAAGAGTAGACTGTAGGTACAATATTACTCGAGCAACAAACTAAGTCTTTAAGATAAGATGTATAACTGCTGTAGCAGTCTAGAAATAATGGGAGGTCAGAATTAGCATTACAGTTTAGATTGACCAAACCACACACTAGAATGTGAAGGGACGACGACGTTTCGGTCCGTCAATCGACTTAAGACGTTTCGGTCCAAGACGGACCGAAACGTCGTCGTCCCTTCACTTTCTAGTGTATGTTTTGGTCAACATATTTCAGCCATGTTATTGTGACTCCTCATCTGCATTACAGTTTAGAGTTTTAAAGATGTATGTATATAAGAGACTAAGCATGTTTAAATAAGGTATCTGGATAAGGAGTTCGTTATAGTTCTGACTGCTGATTTGTGCCGAATAATTTAGGGTCCGGATTTGTTTTATTGAATCACTGACACAGATAATGGTAGGCGAGAAGAGGATAAATGTGTCAATGGCATTGAGTAGGCGATTCCACGTCTGGCCGTCGGTGGGGACTGTCGTTGCCGCTGTGCGTTCCAGTTTTAGCCAGCCAGTGGTTGTGCGCGGTTGTTAATGGTCTCTGTTGCGGGTCTTTGTGGCTGTGCTGGCCTGTGGGATGGGGTTACCCCTTACACCGTGTCCAGCGAGCTTCGATGATTGTACTGGAATTCACTGGACAGGCGACTTACCCAGCGAAGGAAGTGATATTGATTGACCTCCTCCGGATAGATGTGGCAGTGGTATGTGGAGTGCTGATTATCTCCAGTCACAGGGCGGTGGTAAAGTTCAGTTCACCGGTCTTCCGGGACTTTATCGACCACTATGACGGACACTCCTTCCAGCTGCCTGGGGATGTTGGATCCGTGACCATCTCGGATCGGAGCGGCACGTCCACGTATGTGGCCGTTCACGAAGCGGCGTTTGAGTTCCTGGAAGACCTTTTCCGGCGTTACTTTACCCAGTTTAGACGTGTGTTTTATGTTTGTATGAACGTCGTCTTCCCTTTCAGTGGAAGGGCATCCTAAGTGGGACCCGGACATTGACCATGCGCCTTAAGACCACTATTCCGTCTTCCGTCATTCTTATGGGTTTCTACACAAGGATATTCTATGTTGGCCAGCCCCGTACTTGCTTCCGTTGCGGGTTGGCACTCGGGCTGCAGGTTGCCGTGCTGGCGGTGTGGGCCATGTGACCCTCTTCTGGGAGAAGGATTTCTTCCCTCTGAAGGTCCAGGGGGCCTTCGTGTGTGTAACGACGAGGATGCTGTATCCGGGCCTTCGGATGGGCCGGTGGTGTCGCAGGTGTCTGCGGACCCCCTGCTTGGCGGTGAGGGTGTCGAGGCGGTGGTGCATGTGCTCCCTCCTCCGCCACCCCCTCTTCAGGCTGTCTTCCGTGGTAAGTGGCGCCAGGTACTGAAGGGTTGGGTGTGGTGCCTGTTCCACTTGGAACACCACTTGATATCACCACTTGGCGATATCATATTCTATATCAACTTCATTCTTTTGGCCTTCGTGGTCATCTCCCTCTCTTTCTCCGCAGCTTCCTCTCTCGTCGTTCCTTTCGGGTGCGCCTTGGTACCGCTCTCTGCCTCTTTTCAGCAATACGAAGGTGTGCCCCAGGGTAGTGTTCTGAGCACTACTCTTTCTGGTTGCCCTCAATGGTCTTCTTTCCTCTCTTCCTTCAGGTGTCTTCTCCGCTCTCTATGTCGATGATCTTACCCTTTGCTGTCAGGGTGATGATTCGCCTTTCCTTCAGCGCCGGCTTCAACTTGCAATTGATGCCGTGTCGTCTTGGGCCACCGATCATGGCTTCAAGTTCTCTACTTCTAAGACTTGTGCCATGACTTTTACGCGGAAACGGGTCGTTCTTCGTCCCCCTTTGTCACTTTATGGTCATCCCCTTGAGTACAAAGATTCCGCGAAGCTTTTGGGGTTGTTCCTTGACACTCGTTTGTCTTGGTCTCCCCATATCTCTTACCTCCGTGTTGAGTGCTCTAAGACCCTTACCCTCCTTCGGGTCTTGTCCCATAATTCTTGGGGGGGGGGGGGCAGATAGGCGCACTCTCCTTGCTTTACATTCCTCTCTCGTCCTGTCTAAGCTCGATTATGGTTGCCCTGCTTACTCGTCTGCTTCTCCTACTCTTCGCCGTCTTGATGCTTTGCACCATACTGGGTTGCGCCTCAGTTCTGGTGCCTTTCATTCGACTCCCGTCCTCAGCTTGTATGTTGACACTGGCTTCCTGTCTCTCCAGGACCGCCGTGATCGCTACTGTCTTCGCTATCTTGGGCGGTCCTTACAACATCCTTCCTCTCGCCTCTGTCGTGCTTTAACTTTTACCCCTCCTGCGGTTCCTGTTCCTCTTCACCACCTCCCTCTTTCTGTCCGGTTATCTCGCCTACAGGATTCTCTTTCCGTTCATATTTCTAATGTTTCTCCTCGTGTTGTTCCTTCTTTGCCCCCGTGGAGAGTCCCTCTTCCGCGGTTTTGTACTTCCTTGACTCGTATCACTAAAGCTTTTACCCCTCCTACGGTTCTAAAACGCCTTTTCCTTGAGCACTTTTCTTCTCACTCCCGCTCCATTTCTGTCTTCACCGATGGGTCTAAGTCTGCGGACGGTGTTGGCTACTCTGTTGTTTTTCCTGATCGCACTTATATGTGTCGCTTACCTCCGGAGACTAGCATCTTTACAGCGGAGCTTTATGCTATTCTCTATGCTCTTCGTCTCCTGCTTTCTCGTTGTCAGTCTTCCTTTGTAGTTGTTGTTGACTCTCGTAGTGCCCTCATGGCTCTCGGGTCCTTTAATCCGGTTCATCCAGTAGTTGTCGAGATCCAGCATTGGCTGTTTCTTGTTCACAGTAAATTTAAGTCAGTTGAGTTTTGCTGGGTTCCCAGCCATATTGGTGTCTTTAAATGCTGCGTGCGGATGCTGCCACCAAGGAAGCTGTCCGCTCTTGTCCCGTCTCTCGTAAAGGTATTCCATATTCCGACTTTTACCCGGTTATCCATTCCTCCGTCCTTACCCGTTGGCAGGCTTCTTGGTCGTCTGTTACTGGTAACAAACTACGTACTCTTAAATGTTGTTTCCTCGTGGCCGTCCTCCTACCACCGTAACCGGCGATGGGAAACAGCTCTGGCGAGGTTGCATATTGGCCATACTCGCTTAACCCATGGTCACTTGATGGAGCGCCGCCCAGCTCCTTATTGTCCTAGTTGCATTGTCCCTCTTACGGTCGTGCATGTCCTTCTTGAATGTCCTGACTTCCAGGACGAGCGTATGTCTTGCTTTCCGACCGCCCCTCGCGGTCACCTGTCCCTCAATAGAATTCTTGGTGACTCGGATACTTTTGATATCGTTTGCCTTATGCGTTTTTGTTCTCGTATTGGCATCCTTGGTGATATTTAGCGCCCTCTGATTATTCTGCGCATTTGATGGTGCTACATAACCTTCCCGGTTTGGTGCCTTCTTTTGATAATTACTTACTTACGGGATATTCATGTCTGTGCCACCTTTTGGGTGGCTTAATCTTTATAAATCAATCGTAGTGAATTAGCCGAGACCTGACGTTCCCAGACACTTCACATAATCTCTGGTAACATTATTTCGTTCATGAGGCATCCCTCCCAAGCAGGGCACAACAGGTACCTCCACTTTCCACCCTTATATGTCCCTTCTCTCTTCCAAGGTCCAAATAAGTCCCTAAAACTGTCCTTACAGTTTAGCCCTTTAATTGAACCAAACGTCTGCACTTTTTAATATTAATTTTACATGATAGCAGTCCAGGTCGTAAAAAAGTATTTATATCAGTCATTTTGAGATTGACTTTAAAGATTTTTAATTGTTAATTTGTTAATCAGGTAAAGACAGATGAAGAGACCAGATCAAGTGAGCTACAAGTCCGGAACATCAATCATACTGACGCAGGAAATTACACTTGTGAACCTTCCAATGCCACACCAGCCTTTGTTTCAATTGCAGTATTTAAGGGTAAGTGTTTCATTTACAGTATTTAAGGAGTGAGTTTTAAGTTGTTAATCCCTTGATTGTGTGTTGACATAATAATTAAAAGTCCCAGTTGTTTTTAGTTACAAATGGCAGGATGGACAACCCAGCTGATTTTCTTCTCATTGTGGAGTGATTGTGCGCACACTCTGCTATGGTGGTATGTCACTCACACGACCAGTGACGCTGCCTAATAATAAACTTGCCCTCCGGGGCAAAATTTAACATTTTAAATAGATTTACGGTTCAAAGAAATAAATACCATTCTACATTACATTTGAAACCTTGCGTGTTTTTTGAAGGTGAAATGTCGCAAGGATTTTCCATGAATTGGTTAAAACACTATCTTGGTTTAACAGCCGTATACCGTGAGTGGGCATGCACTGTCCACTATACCGTGGGGGGTTGGCATGGTGTACGTTTGTTTGAAAGATTCAGCATTGCACAAATAATTTGCCTTTGGATTTTTTTTATTTAACTTGGACATTCTGCTCTTTAACTCAGGAATTCCATTTATAGGCTCCTAATATTATCTAACTGAGGTTTTTGCTTTGTTTCTTGTGACCTAGTTCAAACCTTGGAGTGTTAGAACTTTTCAAAACTTCGTAGAAAGAATTAATTTTCAGTTTTGTGTTGGATGCATAACAAGAGTTGCATTTTATTGCACTTTATGAGGAATCTACCTCATCACCTCAAGTATTTATCGTGAACTCAATTGTACACTCAGATTTATTTTAAAATAAGCAATATTATTAATTTTTATAACGCGTAATCCTTATAATGAAATGCAGCCGTCTTCGTATCGTCCACTCTCCTTCCCCGCCTGAGACTGTGGAGTCTGTTGCACACTATTGTGACAGACAGGTGTGCCAAAAGCATTAATGTAAACGTGGTTTCTCTCCCTCTTCCTTCCCAGCGGATAAGGTTGTCTGTCCTTCCATCCTCCTCTGTCTTTGTTCCTGCACTATCTTCGTAGCGGTATCAGCGGACCTCCCTATGGAATTTCCCCGTAGTCGTTGCTTCTACCTCTGATGCTGCCTCCTATTCCAGTACACATTGTCGTCTGCCCTTACTCAGCCCCCACTCCCTCGACCCAACACCACCACCTGTCGTTTCGCGTATGACCCTTACCACCCTCTGAACACAACTCATTGGTGGATTTACTATACCAACCAACTCAGACCTACCCTAGTAGCCTAGTACCCAATTTGAATCGTTGCTCTAGATTTTTCTTTTCTTTAATTTCTTTTCTTATTTCTGTTTTTCCCATTCTTCAATGGGATTTACATGGGTTTTTATTAAGTCTGTAATAAACCTTGCGTGTATTATCTCGGTTTTCGCCTCTTTGTACATACCTCTAGGAACCTATGCTTGGCGCCCGTCCTGATCACTTCCATGGTTATTCCTTTCTATCTTATCCTCCAGCATTTGTTGGAACCGCTAACTACTGTTTATTGATCCGAAACGCAGTTCCTTTTGATCCCCTCTTTTTCAGTTTAACGTTCCTTCCACCGCCGAAACGTCGTCGTTCCTTCACCTTCTAGTGTGTGTGGTCTGGTCAACAGGTACATTGTAGCAAGGTTTTATATCGACAAATAATATAAATTGACAGAGGTGATTACACTGGTAAAAATACATGTCATAAGTACTAATATTGGGGAATTGGGTAGTACAAGATAGTGTGAGTTTGAAGCACAAGGTAGGAAACTAAGAGGATGAAATTAGGTACTTTTTGCTTTTACTTTGAATAGAGTATAGGTTGGACAATTGTTTAATTCATCAGTGATTTCAATAGACTGTGACCTTTTATTTGCATGGAGTGTTTGCACAGATTTAGTTTGACTCTGGGGATATGAAAGATATATTTACTTCTGGTGTGGTGCTCATGGGTTCTATTACACCTATCAAGGAAAAGTTTCAGATCAAGATTAGCATTTAGGAACAAGGTTTTGTACACGTAACTAGCACATGAGAATGTGTGGAATGAGTGTACGTTTAGCATGTTAAGGGACTTAAACAAAGGGGCTGTGTGTTGTCTGAAGTTTGTTAGTTATGATAGCAGATTTTTGCTGAGTGATGATGGGCTTGAGGTCATTTCCAGGGGTTGAACCCCCATGCACAGATACCATATGTAAGATAGGGATAGACATTGAAAAAATTATCTGACTATAGAAAGTATACCGACCGTTTTAGCTGTGTGTTGTACGTGGGTGTTGAAGTTCAGTCTCTTGTCTGTGTCTTTCCCACATTTTTTTATTACTAATGTTAACATTGTCTACATGAAGCTGAATTTGATTTGATGATTTACTACCAAATAAAATGTAGTAGGTATTTTCTATGTTTAGTGTGAGTTTGTTGGTTGACAACCATGAGTGACTTCTTTTTATTCATTATTGACAATATTATTTGGTGTGTGGGGATTGGAGTCAGAAAAAATATCGTCAGCAAATAGTATACGTTTAAGAATGTTAGAATCATTTGGAAAATTACTGTCTTGAAGAAAGGTCCTAAGATGCTGCCCTATGGTACTCTTACTGTTAATGGTACAGTGGGGGAAGTTATATTATTGATGGCTACATATTGGTGTCTGTCACTGAGATAGGAACGAATATAGTTCAGAACAAGGCCTCGGATACCATAGTGGTGAAGTTTAAGTAAGTGATAGTTATGGTTTACAGTATCAAAGGCGTAGGTTAATGAAGTCCAATTGGGAACTGATTTTTGTCAAGGGCTGTGTAGTTCATATTAAGTAGACTAATTATGGCATCAGTGGTACTCTTTTGGAAACGGAAACCAAACTGACAGGGACTTAATATGTAGAGTTTTACAAGGTAGGAATAGAGCTGTTTGTAAATAAATTGTTAAAATATTTTTGAAAGTATATTTAGATTTGATAATGGTCTGTAATTGCTTATATCGGTTGTCTCGCCTCCTTTATGAACAGACGTTACTCCTGCTTTAAGTATTTCAGGAAAAGTATGACACTCTAAAGATTTGTTGAATAGCAGTGCAATAGCAGGGACAGCACTCTTATATACCATAGATGGCATTTCACTAATGTTCCCAGCTTTGGCTTTAAGTGATTGAATTATGGATATAATGTCTGTCGGGCTGACTTTATTATTATTAACATCTTTATTGACAAAATTAATTACAATTTTGCCTAATCTGAGGATTTTGATAGGTCTTATTAAAGTGAGGATAATGCTAGTATTCACTGTCACGCAGGACAGAGGGTCATACATAAGACAATAGGTCTAAACTGTAGGCTGAAGCGCACATATATCATTGTTACAATCAATGTTTTAATGTATGGATACGTGAAAACAACTTTCTATTGTGCACTGCCACACAAGGGCAGGGATGGGTTCATAAGTGATACAGCTTAGAAGTAATATAAATAAAAATTGTTCTTCATTCTTTAAAATGGACAAGCAAATTTTGGGTAAATTGTTAGGATGTCGTCCAGAACACCTGAGTCAATAAAATAGTTACACAGTTGGTGGTACAAGAGGCCAGGAGGTCTAAAGTCCTTTACGGTTTCACATTCATCAATATAGTGTTCTAGTGAATGCATTAAAGGTTTATCACAGAGTTTACAATCTGAATATTCTGGTAGTGGCTCAGCCTCACTAACCTGCCAGATGTGTCTATAGCCAAGGCGAATTCGCGCAATGACTACATCACATTGCCTGGTCCGGTTACTGTGCTGACCATACAAATACCTATTATTGCAAAACTTGTCATAACTTTTAATACTGCAGCTTTCAGGTCTCTGGGCATTTCTTAGTTCTTCTAAATCTGAATTAATTTCTTTAATTTGTATGTTTCTAATAACTGCATTAGATAGTCCAAAGTCATAATCAATGTTTTCTTTCCTGCAAGCCTCATTGGCCAATTGATCTACAAAGTCATGTTTTCCAACTCCAACATGGGATGGGATCCACACAAATTTTATACAAGAGTTATTATCATTGGCAAAAATTATATTCCATTTAATATTACAAGCTACTTCCGACGTACATTGTGATGGGTTATTTAAGGACTGCAGAGCACTTTTAGAGTCACAGAATATCACTCCACCACCATTGAGCTTAAGGTATTCAGTGGCTAGATAAATACCCAATAGCTCGGTCTGTGTCGTACTTGCCCAGTTGTTCAATCTCTGTGTACTAGTCATGATCATTTCATTCTCTTTATACACTGCACATGCACAACCTGTTCTACCAGTGCCTAACTGCACAGAGCCATCAGTAAAGGCATAGGATTCAGTCGGTTTGAGAATTTGAAGATGACTGTCAATAGCTTCTAATGTTATACATCTCAAAATGTCAGTGTTATACATTTGTTTTATACTGATGGGAGTATAATGGGCTGACTGGTAAAAGTAGTAGTTAGGATAGCTGCCGGCGAGATATGTAGTTACATGTGTTTGGATCGGTGGGAGTCTTCTGACAAGGTTAGTACCAATTGATGAAAAGAAACTATTAAATCCAGTTGCAATTTCTAAGTCTGTTGCAAGTGTGTAACCTTCTTTGGAGAGTTTTTATCTGCTTCCTATGTGATTGTTGTTTAGGCCCTAGGATGTTAGAGATGACTTTCCATGTACTTTCATATTTCCTTTTTCCTCTTTAAATCTATTCTCATAAAAGGAAACTTTGGCTCTTCGTATTGGTAAGCGTTGATGAGTATCTCTTAACTACTTTTTGTGTAACTAGGCCAATCCTTTGTTTTTCATATTCACGTTTCTTGTTAATTGATTTAAGTATGCCACTTGTAAGCCAGGGGTTGTTTAATCTTTTGGCAGTCACTTGCTTAGTGAGGAGAGGACAGTGTGTTGTAGATAGAGGCTCAGAATTTTGAAGAGAAAGATATACCAGTATAATTCCATATATATTCCCTCACCCGATTTTAAGCACCTCTTAGACTCGTTCCCGGAACCTATGCTCCTTTTGTGTTATTTTAACTATCGGCAGGCCCTCAGG